ATATCACTAGGCCATTTGATCTCTAATTTGACAGTATCAGAAAGAAAACATTGCAGAACTCAAAGTCAAGATCCAAAGTTTAGGGTTTTTTTGTTTTGTTTTGTTTTGTTTTTAAGGGGCAATGTAAAGTCATAGGTTAAAAAAAAATACATATTGGTGTATGTCAAATTCCAAGAAGACAGATTCAAACTTTATATATTGACAAAAGACATTTCCCGATATCTTTCCCATTTTCTTTCTGGCTTCCCTATGCCTCTTAGCATGCTATGGTATCAGAAGCAGTTCAATCCTGCCATTTAATGTCTTTGACTGTTGCCTTTAACACCATCAACACAATGATTCCTTTCCATGAATAAAAAGTACCTGGTAAGATTATTTTGATAGATGTATGCATCTGTGTTATCACCAGAAACAGTCTTCAGTGAGTCTGGCTTTGCAGATGGAAACTACACTAGAGGGACAAGAAAATGTGTTCTAGACTGTCCTAAGCCACCACAGTTGCACCCCCACTGCCTCAGACAACTTGAAGGAAAAGATCAAACATCTTTCACTCTTGAGACAATTGCTGTCTTCATTTCAGAAGCAAGACGGAGTCAGGCTGTGAGTGCTGGGGATCCAAGCCCAAGTCTGTTCAACTACAAAACCTCTAACCTTCACAGTCATCTCAACATTCTGGTTCTCTTCACCTTCTCATCCTCCTGCCTCTTTATTTTATAAGCAACTTTATCTTCAACATGAGGTACTTAGCAAATCCTTCAACTAAATGATAAATTATGAAGGCTGAGCATGTTCTCTCATTCAAGGTATTTAGAACTTTCAAAGGAAACAGGAGACAGAGCCTGCCCAAGTATGCAAGGAAAATACTTATAAACTATCAACTCCCCTGAAGTTCTGCAATGGCAATTACACACCATCTTATTACAGCCTCACATCATAGTAAGTCTACAGTTTGGATCCTAACTTTTTGCCATGGTTCCCTCTGACAATCTGAAGCAATTTACATAACTCCTCTTAAAATAAGGTGTTTAACTGCATAAAATATAATATGTAGAATTGCAAAGGAAACTAATTACCAATTTTAAAATACCATTATCAAAATAATTTAAAAAGGCCAGGTGCAGTGGCTCACGCCTGTAATCCCAGCGCTTTGGGAGGCCAAGGAGGGCGGATCACGAGGTCAAGAGCTTGAGACCATCCTGGTCAACACGGTGAAACCCCGTCTCTACTGAAAGTACAAAAATTTAGCCAGGAGTGCCAGTGAGTGCCTGTAGTCCCAGCTGCTCGGGAGGCTGAGGCAGGAAAATTGCTTGAAACCAGAAAACGGAAGTTGCCGTGAGCGGGAATCGCGCCACTGCACTCCAGCCTGGTGAGAGAGACTCTGTCTCAAAAAAAAAAAAAGAAAAAAAGAAAAAAAAAAATTCAAACAAAATTCATGATATACAAAGGTATGGGCATTTAAACTCTAAACACAGTATAGGAGAGTTCTACATACTACTATATTTAAAAATTGTGATACTGTTGGAAAGGGTTAACAATTTTTTTTTACTGCTTTACGTGTACGCTGAAATTGAACAATTAGAACAGTGAATGGTGGGAGCCATGATTCTCACTACTGAAATAGGAATTTACAGACAAGCAAAGGGAGGAGGATAGAATGATCTGTATGTAAAAGATTAAAGCTGGAGACATAAGTATTTGTGTTTATATATAGCTTAATACAGATACAGAATGGTTACATATAGAAATACTTATGTATATATGCATGGGTGAGTATACACATATACTTCTTCACTGTCTTAGTTGAAAGGCCTAAACAAAATGATGACCCACGCCAATAATGACCATGTCTAGGGACCAGATCTTGATTTGTATTACCAATCTCCAGTAAAAGGAACAAGGGCTCCTTGAAGTAATGGCTGATTCTAGGAATGAAGCAGAAAGTATACAAGTTGAGCCTGGAGGAACTTATAATACCATAAAGTAAGGGACTGTTAACTATCCTGTCACTTCCGCCACACACACACACACACACACACACACACACTCACACTCACACATCAAAGAGGATGTCAAAGGAGCACGGGAACCTACTGAAAGAGCTTCCAATGGGCAAAACTGAAACAAATTGAACAACAAAATAAACTAGCAATTAATTACCAAAAGTATAAAATATAATAAATCTTTGTAAGTCTATAATGTTGATATCAACAAATAATTGAATACTTGGTAGAGAATAGACAGATCTTCTAGGCAGAAAAATTCCAAATACTTTATGTACACACTCTGCTCTCAGGGAAGTAGAGCTGAAGTCCCACTCCTTAGGTTTGGGTTTCAGGTAGTTACTTCCTAAAAGTACAGTATGGAAAGGATGGGCAATAACATTACAGTGGAGAAACCTGACAAACACTGCCTCAGCCAGGCAATCAAAGTCAACATCAACAGTCATAAACCACATCGATATTACAGCACCTTGATATGATGTGAGGAAAATGGGACTCTATGTCTTTCTCCTACCAATAGTTTGCAATTCCAGTCTTATCATGAGAAAAGCATCAGACTAATTGCAGCAGTGGGGTATCCTAGAAAACAGTTGACCATTACACCTCAAAACTATCATGATCATCAAAAACAAGAAAAGGCTGAGAAATTGTCACAGCTAAGAGGAGCTTAAGGGGACATGACAACTAAATGCGGTGTGGTATCCTCCATGGGCGCCTGGAACAGATTTAAGGATATTAGGTAAAAACCAGGGAAACTTAAATGTAGTTAGATTTTATTTATTGACTAGTTAATAATAATGTATCAATATAGATTCATTGATTGTAATCAAATGGTAAGATTTGGATTTGTGTCCCTACCCAATCGCATGTCAAATTATAATCACCAATTTTGGAAGGGGGCCTGCTGGGAGGTGATTTGATCATGGGGGAGGTCTTCTCCCTTGCCTTTCTGGTGATAGTGACTGAGTTCCCATGAGATCTGGTTGTTTAAAACTGTGTAGCACCTCCCCTTCTCTTTTTCCTTCTCCAGCCATGTAGGGCCTGCCTGCTTCCCCTTTGCCTTCCAGCATGATTATAAGTTTCCTGAGACCTCACCAGTCATGCTTCCTTTACAGCCTACAGAACCACGAACCAATTAAACCCCTTTTCTTTATAATTTACTTAATCTCAGGTAGTTCTTTATAGCAATACCAGAATGGACTAATTACACCAAGGTACCATACTAATGTATGAGGTTAATAGGAGATAATGGGATATATGGGAACACCCAGTATTATTTCCTCAATTTTTCTGGATATTAAAACTGAAAAAAACAGTCTATTAAATAAAACAAAATGTAGTGATGATTTGATTACAAAATCAGTGTAGTGATACATTGAGATATCTATAAAAACAGCAATAGGAAATTGGCTGTTGTTTCTATTGGTAACAAAGTCACAGGTTCTCCTAACATTCTGGTGGTTTGTTGCCTGCATTAAAGCACGTGCTAAATGCTAAATTTCAGTTAGAGGTTAGTGAAACTAAAAATGAAATTTTCTCATCTAAATTCCACATTCTGGAATTCGATTCATATACTCCTTTTATAAAGATTAAGAATCTCCTGCTCTATGGTAATATTAATGGCCTAACGTTAAGAAAGTGAGTCTGAGAGAGATGTATTAAGTTGTTCTAGCTTTCAAAGAGCACACATTCTATGACCAAGAATTCTAACTACGTTTTGTTGGAAAGCTGTTGGCTACATTACTGCCTAACTTTGGGACTGATAGAAGGATGGATACACTTCATTTAGCAAAGCTACTTCCCTAGCCTTTCACGACTGCACTGTTTAGATTGCTGGACAAGTCTATAGAGTAAAGCTGGCCTGTATCAAGTGATGATCAATTGGAACAGCAAGGGAACTTAAAAGAGGAGACTCCATTCCACAGAACCCTAGTGTCAAGGAACCTCCCTACTGGAAAATGACTCAACAGTTAAGGGGAAACCCTGGCTCAACTACAAAGAGAGCAAATTTAGGCCCATTTTTCCTTAAACACTCATCCTCAAACCTGAAAAAATTGGGGAAAGAAGCAAAAGAGGATAATGCGGGGGAAGAAAGAGAACAATCTTGTTAACAGCTAGTGTCAAATTTAAAAAGAGAAGGAAAGGGCTTATATGAATACATGCTTATTTCATTCCTAAGGCAAATTTTCATAAATCCTTAGGGAAAAAAGATACATTCATCTGCTAATGTGGATTCTGCTTTTTGATTTCCAAATGTTATAGCTGTCACCACAACAGTTTGCCCAATTAAGTGGCAGGGATGGGAGGGGGCTCAGGGGAGAGGAAGCAGTAGGAAGAGGTGTTAGAGGGAACATCTGTGCACGAGGGCACCATAAACACAACAAAATCCTGGGGCCACCCTGCCGTTCCTTTGAGCATTTTCTCGGGTTGCCCCCCCTTCTCCAGTCTTTTGGGAGATTCCCGTTCTATTACGCAGTTGAGAAGGCGAAAGCTACCAGCTTTCAAAATTCTGAGTGCTTTGGCTGTGTGCGTACGTGTGTGTGTGCGGGCGCGTGGGTGTGTGCATTTGTGCCTGTTGGAGGGGGCCAGTGAAGCGAGCTACGAAGGGCTTAGAAAGGTTCATTACCAATTTAAAGTGTTTTCTCAGCGCTTGAATGTTTATCCTAAAAGACAATTCCTGCTCTCAAATTCAGCCAAATGAACAATGCTGATGAGGAAGATGAAGAGGGTGGGAAACCCACACAGGCGAATGGAGCAGTCCATGCAGCAGGGGTGAAGGGGGAGCTCTAGGAGGAAGGACGCTATGCAGAGAAAGCCCCCCTGGCTCTTCTCTCTCGGTCTATAATCCAGCGATGCTGTCACTGTAAAAGCTTTAGTAGAAAACCAACCCACAACCTAGTGGGGCATCGATCCTCTGGCGCCGTTTTCAGACGCCCTTCCCCGGGGCCGGGAGCGGCCCCGCTCCCCCCACGGCTGGCGCAGAATGTGGTGATCCGGCCCGGGGCGGGGATGACTTCATACGGCCGGCCGGAGCTCCGCGGCGAGCGGCGGCTGCAGCTGGCAGGTGGGACGCGAGCTGACGGAGCACGCGGCGGGCGAGGTGGGACTGCAGCCAGTGGCGGCGGGCGCGGGGACCTGGGGACCTGCGCCGACTCGGTACGGGGAAGGTAAGCAGCCTGGCTCCTGTGCACCGTGGCCGTGCTGTGCGGCTTTCAGCTTGGTTAATAATGGGGTTTGCTGCACAGAGGGAAGGGTGAGAGAACCCCGCTGAATTCTGCAGTGGGAAAAGGAGCAACAACTAGGATGGAAATGTTAGGCGGCCAAGTGCAGAGGTTGGAGGAGTGCTGTTACTGGGCAAACAAAGGAGGCGTTCTGCCTCTATACTCCTTTGAACGTGATCGACCATTTCGGTGCCAGATTCGCGTAGACAGTGAAGAGGACTCAAAATGTAAAATAATTTGAGTTACTCTATTGCCTTTCGTGCCTTTTACCTTCGCTTGACTATTTTGAGGATTTGGAGCAGTAGGTCCCTGGCAGCAGCCTGGGGTAATCAGAAATCGTCCCTCTCTTCCTATAGTCCTTGGTCCTCTCCCTTTCCAGTTATCAGAAGGGGTCCGTGCCCCTCTCAATGTCAAAACACCTGCTTCAAGACTGAACCTCTAGAAGGAGACTCTATTTGGAGGGGAAACTTCTCTTATCTCCTGGAGTTCAGCTTGGGTTGAGCAGCACTTGACATCGCTTCTCCCTTCATTTGCCATTTTCTCTGTCAGTCATTTCATTGATCTTTTTCGGACATGCTGTGCCCATTCACAGGCCAACTCTTGTCAGCTCTTTTCTACCACCTGGGTTCCATGACCGATTTTGTCAAGGTCCCAGAAAGGGCACTGCCTCACACAGGCTTCTTAGTCGGTATTATCCCTGTATATTGTTACCTGTGTCCTTCCCCCAAATGCATGGAATGAAATATCCTGCTTGTAGCCCTATACCAACATGGTATCCCATTAATTCCCTTCCCCGTAGTCACTATGGCTACTTGAAAGCTAGAGAGGACAAATAGAATCTATTGAAATGTAAGGGATGTTCCTGTGCATAGGCGTAGGTTGAAGTAAAAATGTGAATTGCGGTCCATCTAGTTTTTCCTGAAGCGATTTTAGTCCAGCTAGGTTTTGAAACAGCTAGCTGTTAAGGTTTGGGATTAATCCTTTCTAAAAGGCAGGGGAGTCTGTTTGCCTCTAGGATTCCTCAATAACCTCAAAAGAGTTTCCAGTGAGGTTTCCCCATAGGCAGTCAGAAAGCCAGCGGAGCTGCCCAATGTAAGCCTCTGGTTATTTGAGTATCCTCTAGGTTGTCTTGCCATTTACAGGTTCCTATCCCTCCTCCTAGGATTTTCCCCACAGACCCCTTGCTACTGAGACCAAGTACCTGTGCTTGTTGCCACCTAGAGATATACATTTGAATAATATGCTGTGAAATGCTTAAGATGGCTGTTATGGGGATTGCAAATGTGCCCCTTCACCAACAGGGAACAGTTGCAATAAGCCAGATTGTGGGGTATCTGTGTGCCAATGTTCTATTGAAAGGGAGATCTATTATCTTTAAACTTGAAATTAGACTGACTGACTCAACAGCCATACAATTTTTAGTAAATTAAATTAGAAGATCAATGAAAAAGAAGGGCAGAGTTTGTAGCTTAAAATTTTACCTCTGCTTACTTTCCTCTTTCAATATTACATATCATTATTGCCTTTCTGATTATACATTTCATTTTTACAAAATACACTTTGAATTTGTTTCTTTGTCTCTATCTTCAGTATATGAGGCATAGGGAGTTGGGGGGGGTGGGACAAAGCCCACTGCTGAGTGACTACTCCAGGAACTGTCCCTTGGGGTCTTAGTAACAATCCTATGGCTCCTTTTTGTTCTTATTATGTATCAAACAGGGTTTTAATTTGAAATGTTAAATTTTTAAGATTCTAGAATTTTTACTCAGTCACAACTACAAGAGGTAACAAAGAAAAAGATCAATGACAAACCCTCTATTCTACCACCTTTTTGCTAATATTAAAATTCTTAACAATATAAATTTTTCTGAATAATGATTAATATAGAATAAGTAATGAATTTTAATATATTCTTTTAAATAAATTAACCTAAGATATGTAACATACAGATTAATGAAACTGATCTTAGAAATACAGTGCAATTTCTGTAATGTTGACAGTAATCTCTCTGTTGTGGAGCAAGTACATGAGAATATCCTAATGATGATTAGAAATTGAAAGTGTCTATTATTTAATTTCTGAAGAAACTAAACTGTTTGGAAAGAAATAGGTTCAGGATTAGGAGACTGGTGCTACCTAAGATGGAATAATACTTGTCAGTGATTTTGCAGGTGAGTTGAACCCACTAAGTTATGGACTGGAGTTGGAAAACTCTTATTGAGAAGAAAGAAAACAAGTTAGAAAATTTGTTTTTCATTAAGATAATCAAACTGAAGGGATTTCTGAATTTGGACTTCGTTATGTTTAAACAAGTTTGAGGAAAGTTTCTAAATTCAGAATCCTAAGCAGAAATATATGTATGATTCTATGTGTGAAACTGATTTATGACTTTATTTCCTTTCCTTAAAATGTTTCTCAGGGAGAGGAAAAACTAACTGGCTGGTGTTCAGAATTGAAAGAGGAATGAAAAACGGAAGGATGTGCATGACTAGATGCTAAATGATTGGATGTTAAATGAACTGCAGACACTTTTATGTTTGACAACATAGACCTGAAGTCAATCTACTGCTTTCCAATCATGTAAAAATAAATTTTATTCTGCTAGGCAGAAATTTAGAAAGTAAAAATTTAGGAGTCAAAGGTGCCCTCTCACAACAAATATCTCTTTCTGGTGCTACATTACTGCCATTAGTTACCACTGAAATAGCCTTAACCTTTGAGGCTGAGGCAAGAGAACTGTTTGAGCCCAGGAGTTTGAGGCTGCAGTGAGCCATGATGGCACCACTATACTTCAAACAGGGCAACAGAACGAGACACTGTCTCAAATTAAAAAATAAATAATTTTTAAAAGTTAAGAAATTTTGAAATGGAAAAGGAAAAAGTATAGTAATAATAAGTCTCAATTAGAAGTGTCATTTCTATTCAACCAGTGACTTAACTGAGAATCGGTAGAAAAAAGTGCTATTTTCATAGTTGCCAGTGACCTTAATTACCAAATTTCTATAATATTTCCCCTTATTTTATCTTTATAAGTTCTCTTCTAAGTTTTTCTTGGATTAAGTATTTGTGTTTAAAAGGTATTATTAGTAAGTACTATGTATCTGGTACAGTGATATCTTTTAATCTAATTTGTATCTAATTCCCTTAAAGTACCCCATGCCCAACCCAAACCAAATGGATCTTCTTTCCAATTTTTACCCCATGGTAGCATTCCTATACATCTTCATTTATTCTCTTAGCCCATCCTATTACATGCTGAAACCTTGCTCTCATCAGATACTGCCTCATTTATGAAGCCTTCTCCATACCCACCTTCCTTCCCCCATCAAATGTGCCCCTCTCTTGTCTAAATTCCTGTAGCACATTCTGTTTTGGGTTATCCTTTCATGTGAACATGGTTTGTCTGCTCTTCTTAAAAAGTTCTTGAAAGCAGGCTCTGGGAAAATGTTTTTATTATCTACAACTCTATGGTGCCTAGCTACGTATACGTATAGCAGGTGTTCAGCAATTTGATTTTAGTGAAGATACATGTTATTTTCCAGACTTATAAATCTATCTACCTAGTCTTCTCCACCAGCCATGTTAGGCTCTAAGTATATGTGCAAATACTAATTTGTTTTTTTTAATCGTTATAATAATAGTAAATACACTGACAGTACATTGAAATCATTGTAATCTACAAAAGGTTTTGTGAGTTTAATGTCTTTAAATGTATACTAAAAGCATGGTAAACTTAGCAAAACAAATCTTTAATGAAGACTTTGCCCCTGCTTTCGATATTCTTGCATTTGAAGCAGGGGAAAGCATCTTACGCATATGAGCATTTATCTTGTTTCATGCCTCTCTGCTAGGGATTTTCATCTTTGGTATCTCATTTGATGTTTCTACTATATGCGAATTTTACACTGAGAAAACTGAGGCTCAGAGATGTCACCTGAATGGCAGAGACTTTTTTCCATATTACCACCTGCTCTTTGAAGTGTAACAGTGAGAAAAAACATTGTAAAAACACAAAGTCAGAGCCATCAGAATAGTTTCAAATTGCCTTGTGATTAATCTTTCCAATGTTTTTTAAACTTTTAGGTTACCATCCCAAACTTTTGATAACTCAATAAACTATACATCTTCTCCCCAAGTACATAAAGAAGCATGCACTTATAATTTTGATTACAAATGCAGTTGTTTGTGGATTCACTAAAGCTCTCTTTTAAGAATGGTTAAAGAACATCTATTTGTGCTTGCTTGGACAATATGTGTGTCTTTTATTAGCCCTTACATTTCCAGTACTTGAGGTGAGGTTTTCCTTTTATTATTCTCCCAGCTTTAAGACCTGAAATGAAATCATTCTGCTATAAGGACACATGCACACGAATGTTCATTGCAGCACTGTTTACAATAGCAAAGACCTGGAACCAACCCAAATGCCCATCGATGATAGACTGGGTAGGGAAAATGTGGTACATATACACCATGGAATATTACACAACCATCAAAAACGATGAGTTCGCGTCCTTTGTAGGGACATGGATGAACCTGGAAACCATCATTCTCAGCAAACTGACACAAGAGCAGAAAATCAAACACCACATGTTCTCACTCACAGGCGGGTGTTGAATAATGAGAACACATGGACACAGGGAGGGGAGCACTACACACTGGGGTCCGTTGGGGGGAAACTGGGTAGGGGAGGCGGGGTGGGGAGGTGAGAAGAGATAGCATGGGGAGAAATGACAGATACAGGTGAGGGGTAGGAAGGCAGCAAACCACACTGCCATGTGTGTACCTATGCAACAATCTTGCATGTTCTTCACATGTACCCCAAAACCTAAAATGCAATAAAAAAATAAAAAGACCTGAAATGAGAGCCCTTCAGTACCAATGACACAAAGACAGCTGATGACTAGAAAGCAAGTGCTAGTGAAAATAGTAACTCAAAGAACCTTGAT